GCTGATTTTTGGGTAAGACCCTTCCCCAGTTTCTAGTGCTGGTAAAGGCTGTCCCTATTTTCATAACCTATAAGTCACTCCAGCGAGAGTCTTAGTGGAGATAACTTGAATGACTTTGCTCATATCATATCTCACTGAGTATCAGGATCCATTTCTTAAACTTCCTCATCATATCCCCAACACCTGCATCATGCTCTGCACAAAGGATGTCCACAGTATCACTTACCAGTGATAGTGATGATATCCCAGCAGGAATTGTCTGGACAATCCTCAAAATGGGAAGGAAGGGAATTAGCAGTTACATAGTGGTTCAAAGCATGGTGGTAAGCATTGGAACCAATTTCTCCACTTCCTAGATGTGTGACCTTGGATTATTCTGAGCATCTGTTTTTTCCAACTGTAACATGGGGCTAATAATAGTACCTATCAGATAAGGTTGTTATGGATATTAAATAATATATGCAAAGCACTTAACACATAGTATATGCTTCATGAATAGCAGCAGATATTTCCAACATTGCTAGGCACTGTTGCATAATTACATATAACTTTATTTAGTCCTCACAGCAATCCTGTAAAAGTCATTGCTAGTATCAGTATTTGATAGGTGAGGAGAGAAATACTCAGGATGATTAAGTAAGTAATTTACACAAGATCACAACTAGTAGGAGACAGAACCAGGATGTGAACCTAGATCTTTCTGGCTTTAAAATCTTTTCCATCTAGCACTGCTTCTGTCAAAATGGAAGTACAGAGTTAGGCGAGACAGGACAGAAGCCAGTGCCTAGGCTCAGAAAAATTCCAGTCCCATTCTGTTTCACTTTCTACATATATGGTTAAATTTCATCTCCTACTTTCACATCATTGAAACACTGATCCTTCTATGCTGACCTTTATGATAAAGACATTTCATGTTGTTGACTTATATATGTGTGTGTGTATATATGTATATATATATAGAGAGAGAGAGAGAAAGAGAGAGAGAGCCTACAACTTTATGGGTAAGAATCTTCCCAGCACCTTGTACTAATATCAGCTGTCATCACCACTGTGGTCTTAGGAAATGCCATCCCTTTTTCATACTGGAACTCAAATGAGGACACTCTGCCCTTCTCTACAGTACAGCTGAGGCCAAGATAGCTGGTTCCAGTAAGACTCTACTGAAGTCTTGGGAAGATTTACAAGAGAAATGGTCTCAGAAAAAGATGGTGCTCAGCTGTCTGCTGACACAGTGGCTTATGTAGGCTAGGTCCACCCAGGCTGCTGTCATCTGGGGGCACCAGCTTTGCACCCTCCACTCAGGACTACTGATCAGTCTTCTCAAAGTCCTTACCTCTGAGGAGGGGTGTGAAAGAATCCTCCCTTTCCTGCTTGGCTGACCTTTGGTTCAGTCCCTGCCCCTATTCATTTCTCCATAGTTGCTCACCTCCCTGAGCACCTAGTGTGTGGTAGGCGCTTTGCACACACTGGGGACACAGGTGGGTAAGGCACCACTTCTCTCACAGGGCTCATGGTCTATGGGAACAGAAAACAAGTTCTATGAAGGAAATAAATGAAGTCTCTCTAAGGAAGTAAACTTTACTGAGATATGAAGGTTGAGAAGGAGCCAGTCCAATGAAAAGGAAAGAGAAGAGCATTCCAGATAAAACAAACAGTTAAGTGCAAAGGCCCTGAGGCAAGGAGGAGAAACAGAAAGGTGGCCACAGTGGCTGGAGTACAGACAGCAAGGGACAGAGATGGGTGATATGAGGTGGAGAAACGGGCCTGACCAGATTACGTAGGGCCTTGCTGGCTTTGCCAAGTGTGAAGGGACCCCTCTGCAGGGTTTGAAGCAGGTACATGACACGGTGTGATTTATATTTTTGAAAGTTCCCTCAGGCTATTCTGTGGAATGAGTTAAGAGACCATCTTCCATTATGGTAGTGTGAGCTATGGAGTAAGAGAGAGAAATACAAAACGTTGAAACATACTTTGGAGATTGTCTTAGTCATCTAGTGCTGCTCTAACAGAAATATCATAAGCGGATGGCTTTAACAAAGAGATGTTTATTCTCTCACAGTAAAGTAGGGTAAAAGTCCAAACTCAGGGTGTCAGATCCAAAGGAAGGCTTTCTCTCTCTGTTGGCCTTCTCATCAATGTTCCCCAGGACTAGGAGCTTCTCTGCGCAGGGACCCCAGGTCCAAAGGATGCGCTCTGCTCCTGGCACTGTTTTCTTGGTGGTATGAGGTCCTCTCTCTCTGCTTGCTTCCCTTTCCTTTTATCTCTTGAGAGATAAAAGGTGGTGCAGGCCACATCCCACGGAAACTCCCTTCTTATTGGATCAGGTATGTGACCTGGGTAAGGGTGGTGTTACAATCCCACCCTAATCCTCTTTAAAATAAAATTACAATCACAAAATGGAGGACAGCCACACAACAGTGGGAATCATGGCCTACCCAAATTGATACATACTTTTTTGGGGGGACACAATTCAATCCATGACAGAGGTAGAACTCACAAGACTTGCTGATGGACTGGTGGGGGAGGTCTCTCCATCCTTGACTCATACTGGAATGACTATTTTCTTCCTAAGCAGTTCTTCCCACCCACAAGGGCTTTGCTTGCAGGTCTCAGCAGGACCACCCTATCAGAATCCAGGTGCTAACCTCACCTTGCAGAAAGCCCCACACCCAGGAGCGAGGGGACAGGAAAGAATGGCTGCAGAGGTCGGAATGTGTGCAAGCCCGGTATGGGAGTTGTATAAATGACATGAAGGAAGTGTCTGACCTCCTCCAAGCCCACAAGGGGGAAAGAGAACCAAGATCAACAGCCCAGGGCTGATTCCTATGAGGTGGAGGTCAGACACACCTCCTCTCTCTGCCACCTCTACCAATTCTGACACTAACTGTCCCTCCCACAGCACTCTACTGGGTTCGATAATTCACTGCAATGGCCACACAGAACTCACAGACCATACTCATGATTATGGGGTTTATTAGGGAAGTAACAGGTTACCATTCAGGTTCAAGAACACTCAGGATACAGTTCTTCCATCAGGATAGCCTCTCCCCAACTGTGCTTTTGGGCACGCCTTTCCCTGGCCCTCAGTCTCTGCCCAACGGCACTCAGCTTTCTCTCTCCGTGGGCCAGGAAGCACACCCTGCCATCTCTTGCTGCTGGTCTCTCCTTTCTTGATGGTGGTGGGCTCCTCCTCTCTGCTCTGGAATTGGCTCTCTTTTAAGGCAAAACTGACCAATCCCCTGGTGGGCCACAATTGTCTTATTTGCACAGCCCCATCCAATCACCTGGGTGGGAGTCACAAGACCATGGCAAGAAAGGCCACACATAAAAGTAATTAATCCTACTGCAGAGTAGAGAGGAACAGTGAACAGATCCACTAGATAAATAAAGTAAACTCAGGGACTGAGGGAGGGTCTCAAAGGTGTAACTTTGTCTCAGTCACACCATCAGTGCCTATTAACGGAACACCCAACAACACTTGTATTACCTTATACATGTAGAGAGCTCTGTATTTGACCTAGGACTTTTGCATCCATTGTCCCAGCCTCCTGAGTTGTTAAACAGATGTTAATATACTCGTCTGACAATGAGATAACAGAGGGCCAGCACTGTGCTGGGACTGCAATCCACAGAAAAATCAATTATAGGGCAGGTTCCCAGCACATGTGGATTCTGACAGGAGATGAGACATTTGATTACTAGGAAGTAGTAAGCTATGGTACAAAGCTAGGGGCACATTTGGCTTAGGGATGGAGATGAGGGAGAGGAAATGGACCCCATATGGAGGGGAAGGGAGAGAATGACCACTTTTCTAGCGCCCCCTGTACTAGCTGGTGTGCTGGGGCACGGCATCTGCCACCTTTCGTGCTCACCATTGTCTGCACTTCTGTCACTGTACGCAAGAACTGCCTCCCTGGGTCTTGGCGGGGTGACGATGCCTTCAGAAGGGGATCAGGACTTCCCTACACACTTGGCCTTCAAGGTGAAACCAAGTCTCCCTCTGTCTCTTGCCTCCCAGATTTTGTATTTCATATAAGTTATTTCTTTACTACCGCCCTTGTTTGGAGCTGTGGAGGTACCTCACGAGTGTCTGGGAAATTCAGAGGAAACAGTAGCTCCTCTCACCTAAAAAATAATAATAATAATCAAAAATATGTAATCCCATGGCCTCCGTTTTCATTTGTGCCTGTTACTAGACTTTTCCAGATACTTTCTAAAATAGTTTTGCGTGGACTGTGGCTCTACTTTCTATGTAGTTCCCGCAGAGAACCCGGCCACCCCGTGGTCCCTGGGCAGGACGCGTTCTACCACCTGGCTGTAGGGAGGGTCGCAGGTCCCCTAGGGGCCGCGCGCACAGTGCGAGTCCGAGTCTGGCCGCGAGGGGCGTCTTCTAGCCGAGCGCCCTCCCCGTGCCCGAGGAGCACAGCTGTCCTGCCGGAGTGTCTGCCTAGGTCGCTCCCATAGCAGGCACAGGGGCGAGCGAACTCGGCCTCTCGCCACCGTTTCCCGCCCCAGATGGGCCTGGATGCTCCGCAGCGGTGTGACCTGGAATCCTTGCAAAGGAAAAGCGCGCCCGCCGCTCCACCCACCTCCAGGCTGCGGTGTCTGGGGCGTCTCTTCGTTGGGACGATCCTGTCCCGGTACAAGCCTGTGAATACTAGGGGCGGTGGCGGCAGCGGGGACGCAGAGGTGAGGAAACGGAGGCCGGCCCGGGGCCCCCGCACGCAGCGCCCGCCGCCGCCGCCGCTCCAGATCTGCGTGCGCGCGGGCGTGAGCGTGTGCCGCCCGGGCCCGCACCGGGGTCGCCGCGGACGTTCAGCGCTGGCCGTAGGCCAGGGAGCGGGCGGCCAGCGGATGCCCCCACGCCCTGTCTGGTGGGCGCCGGGTCTGGCTAGAAGCCGGGCGCGCCGCGACACCTGCAGAGGGATACCCGTCCCGCAGCAGCCCAAAGCGGGCGGCGGCCGGCGGCCGGCAGGGAGCCTCCTTAGCGGAGCCCCATGATGTCAGCTGGCCCCGAGCGGCGGCCGCGCGACGACGGGGATGGGGCCGAGAACGCCGCGCGACCGTCGGCACGTCTCTCGTGCTCCGACAGCGGCGCCGGCCCTGGCTCGCGCGCCCCTTCGCCCGACAGCTCTGCCGCCGCCGCGCCCCTGGGGCCCTGTCCTGCGGCGCCCCCGCCGCTGGCCCAGCTTCCACCAAGCCTGTGGCTGGAACTCGGGCCTGCCTGCATGAGGACGCAGCAATGTCCCAGCGAGTCGAGCGGGCGGGCGAGCGGCGACTTAGGCACTAGCAGCAGCAGCGGCGGCAGCAGCGCCGGGCTGTCCCCGGGCTCCGACTCGGACAGCAGCGGCGTGGTGTGCGGCGGCCGCGGAGGCAGCGGGGGCATGCGTGGCGCCCTGTCCCGCTACTGGAGCCTGGAGAGCCTGCACTTGGCTACCGCCGGTAAGGTGCCGCCGCCCGCCACCGCCCCACGCGCCGGCCAACCGCTTCAGGTCCGGGGTCCTCCCTCTGGGCTCCTGGCTGCTCCTGGGCTACTCGCCTCCAAATGATTCTTTCCTGCCTTTCCTTTTCCTCCCTCCCTTTTATTTCCAATTTCCACTCCCTAGTCCTTTCCTTCCCACTGCTTTGCCCTTTTGATTCCTGTTTATTTGCCTGGTTTCCTTCTGATTTCCCCCCTCCCCCTCCCACTACCCCGGCCTCTTCTTTCAGCCCTTCTACCGGTGGGCCACCTGTTACAGCTAGGGCCCTGTTTGCCCACAGAGCAGAGTGCACTATGGAGAGAGCCATTCAGAAAACTGGGAAATTTGTGTGTTTAAGGTGAGGCTAGAATTTGGTCCTGTGATTTGCTGTCTCCCTTCCCAAAACTATTTCTGATCCAATGGCAGAATGTTTGGGTTTCCAAACCACAGGTCCAACTATAGGTGCGATAGAAACTAGCTGCCCGAGATGGGCTGGAATGGACCACCTGGCTGTCAGTGTGCTTTGGTTCTGGCCTCAGGGCTGGGGCTCCGGCCTTGAGGACGGCTAGTTCTGGACCCTTGGGAACAAGGAGAGCAGCTTCCCTGAGGCGCCTTGCTCCGGTAACTTATGGAACTGTGTGCTACCATTAGTCCTCACCTGTCTATCTGGAATGCCAGTTTGGGTACAGACTGAGAGGAAGACTTTGATCATAAGCGTTAATCAAGCAGGGAAGTCCAGAGTGGTTTTATGGATGGTGGTCATGACCCGTGGTCAGTTTCTGGACTAGATTCTTTATATCTCACTCTTGCAAACACTCCACAAGCATTGTTGAGCATTGAAGTGGGAGCTGTAAACGAAGCATGTCACTGCCTGTTCTGGGAGGTAATGGACTCATGCCACTGCCAAGTCCGTGCACGCTGTGAAAGCTGCAGAGCTTCACTGAGTTGGCGGCGGGATGGGGTGCAGGTTCTAGTGGTGCCCCAGCAGAGCAGTAAAACCAAGGCGCAGCATGGAGAGCCTGAGGGCAACAGGGAGGCCCAAGGGTCAAATACAGGCCGTACTGGGAGGAGTGGATCCCACTGAGTGCAGGCCCAGGTGGGTTGTGAGAGTGCCTTGAATGACAGGTACAAGGTTTGGACTTTGCTGTACAGTCAGTAGCTTTAGAAAATGGAAGTAAGGACCTCTGCACTCAATGCAGACCTCCATTCTCCATTAACACTTCCACACATGGTGCAGACCTCCACACTCGGTACAGACCTCCAGATTCGGTGCAGACCTGTACACTCGATGCATACCGGTACACTCGGTGTAGACCTCTATGCTCAGTGCACACCTCCGCACTCGGTGCACACCTGTACACTCGTTGCAGACCTCCACGCTCAGTGCACACCTCCACACTCGGTGCAGACCTAGACACTCGATGAAGACCTCCGTGCTCAGTGCAGACCTGTACACTTGGTACAGACCTGTACACTTGGTGCAGACCTCCACATTCGGTGCATACCTATACACTCGGTGCAGACCTTCACGCTCAGTACAAAGATCTACACTGCGGATCCCATCACCCTCATCTGCTCTCTCCGAAAACAAACAAATGAAACTCAGAAAAATGGAATGATCCAGCTGTTGGTATCTCCTCTAACTGAAAAATTTTCAGAGTTCTGAAGCTCTGATCACCTCTCATTTCAATTCCCTTGGAACTTTCCTTGTTTTAAGTAAACCAAACTAGATAATACCGTAAGCGGGATTTGAAACAAGCTGGCAAAGGACACCTTCCTCTCCCTTTCCCCTGATGGCTTTCGTTCCAGTTCTGGAGTTGGAAGGCACTCATGCTCCCACCTTTTGACTGCAGAACAGGCCCAGAGAGGATCAGAGAAGTGGCCTTACCCCGTCCATGGACTTCCCCTGTACTTCTTCCTTCTTCCCCAAGGCATGTGCAGGGGTGAGGCAGATGGACATGGCAGAGAACATGGTTTATTAGGTGACTCTGAGATCCAGGACTCCCTAGACTATCCCAGGGGCACTGAGGCAGTCTGGATGAGTTTCAGAGATAGCAGCAGCATTTGCATGAAGGTCTGAGGGGTGGGTGTGTGTGTGTGTGTGTGTGTGTGTGTGTGTATGTGTCTAAGTAAGTGTATAAGTAAGTAAGGTGGGCCAGGTAAAAGCTGAGGCCCAGAAGACTGTTCCTTGTGGGGCTCAGAGGTGTCACAGCCATGGTAGGGCAGGAGGTAAGGCATAATGACACTGTAAAAGTTGGTGGTTGAAATCCAGACACTAATGCTGTCCCCCTCACAGAGCACTGGACTGCTGAGGAGTGCCTGCAGGTATTGCTAGGCTTGTGGGCAGCACACGGCACTCACAGAGTGCTGGTCAGCAATCAGCCACAGGGCCGCCAGGAAGGCATTGTAAGTCACCTCTTGGATCATCCTCTCTGCCCCTACTCCCATCCCTCGACCTGCATTGGTAAGTGTTCAATACTAGATGTGTGCAAGGGTATTGTAATGTATCTGGTAGAGCTGTCTGAGGCCATGGAGCAGTTTTTCTTAGCTGGATTCATGGAGAGAATTAAGCCCTGATGCCTTAAGACATCCATAGTGTGTAATGACTTAGCTTCTGTTCTTTTCTTCTAGAATGGTACTAGTTATGTACTATCTTTGGGAGAACTGAGAAAATAGTCCCTCAAGTAATTTCCTTTGGAGTTGTGGCTCACATGAGGAAATCTGGTTGAAAAAGGCAGAAATCTGGTTGAAAAGGAGGAAGACTTGATGGGAAGAGGAAAGTAAAATTACATTTTTTGAGCATCTTCTGTATGCCAGGCACATTGCTCCACACTTTGTCATTAACATGCATAAAAAAATCCAGTGAGGCAAGAGTTATTACCCTACATCCAGATACAAAAACAGGCTAGAGAGGTGAAGGTACTGCCCAAGGTTGCCCAGTGAGTTGTGTCTGAGCAGAGGGCCAGGCCTGGTGAGCCTTGATGGGGCGCTTCGCTGGGAGTAGAGTGGAGGCTGTGCCAGGGGCCAGGGCACAGAGGAAAAGGAGTGTGCTGATCTGGTTGACAGTTGGAGAAATGTCCTGGCTGCTCGCACTCGTGAGCACTGTGATCTTTGTTCAACAGTAAAGACTATTTTCTGGGCTCCAGCTTCTCCATTTTTAAAATGAGGAAATTTAAATTGAAGATGTGGCCTCTTTTCTAATCAGCTCTAACATCGCGCCATGCTAGTCAGAACTATTGACTTGAGGTGGGTGCTCCACAGTGAGTTGGCATTCATTGAATATTGCATATCTATTTGACTGATATTGCAGCTCTAAAACAAAACACGTGTTTAATTGAACTGTGTTTATCTCTTAAGAAAGATTAAGAATTATCAATAGAAAACCTTAGCAAAACTTCCTTAATGTTGTGATTTTTGTGATGGGGTTGCTAACCATTTTTGAGTTATCAGCCAGGACCAGAAAGGCCAGAAACTTGAGACTGACTTGAGGGCAGAGCCAGGGAATCTAGTCAGACAAATATAGACTCTCCTTGTTTCCAAAAGATTTCTTGAATTTTAGATGTCCAGTCTTGGCACTTACCATTGAAATGTCACTCACCTTGGTGTGGAGAAGGCTTTCCTTAAAGGCAGAGTTTGAAAGTAAAAAACGTTGACAGAATGGAATTCCCATGGTCCTTCTTTCTGCCTTACTGTTCTCATCTCTCCAAAAGTACCCATAGCTTTCATGGCCCTTGAATATGCTGTCACTTGCTGCTATTACTTGGCCCAGGCTTTTCAAATTCCCATCCTGGATGTGTTGTTTGACAAACTTAATTCTCTGTTCAGATTTCTTGAGTTGACAGTTTATACTACCTGTTCTTTTGCGTGGTCAGTGTTATATGATTTCTTCTTGGGAAAGAACCCATGCTACTTTCAGACTCCTCTGCAGGCCTCTGAGGCATAGTTCTGTCTCAGGTGGGAATCTGGCTTGCAACCAGGTTAGGCCACCTTGCAATCTATTTACTGAACATCTGTTATAGGTGTTAACTAGGCACTAGAGATAATAGGTGACTATTCAAAGTCTTGCCCTTAGAGAAATCACATAGACAACTCATTACAACAAGTGATCTGACAGAAGTAAACCCAGTGGGATGATGTTTTAGGGGGTCCCCAAGACCCACCGTCAGGTCCAGTGATTTGCTAGAAGGACTCACAGAACTCAGAAAAGCTGTTATAGTTATGGTTTATTACAGTGAAATGATACAGATTAAAGTCAGCAAAGGCAGAAGGTGCATAGAGTAGGGTCCAGGAGAGACCAGGGATGAGTTTCCAGTTGTCTTCTCCCAGTGGAGTCACACAGCCCATGCTTAATTTTCCCAGCAAGGATGTATAACATGTATGAAGTGTTGCCAACCAGGGAAGCTCACTCAAGCCTTGGTGTCCATGGTTTTTATTGAGGGTCAGTCACATAGGCATGGAAACTTTGTGTGATTGTTCTTAGGTACTCAGTCTCCAGCCCCTCCATGTTGTTGTTGTTGTTAGGTGCCGTCGAGTCATACCTGACTCATAGTGACCCAGTGTACAACAGAACAAAACACTGCCCGGTCCTGCACCATCTTCACAGTCTTTGCTATGTTTGAGCTCATTGTTGCAGCCACTGTGTCAGTCCATCTCACTGAGGGTCTTCTTTATTGCTGATGCTCTCCTTTACAAAGCATGATGCACTTTTCCAGGGACTCATCCCTCCTGATAACATGTCCAAAGTACGTTAAGATGAAGTCTTGCCATCCTTGCTTCTGAAGAGGATTCTGGCTGTACTTTTTCCAAGACAGATTTGTTCATTCTTCTGGCAGTCCATGGTATATTCAGTATTCTTCACCAACATCATAATTCAAATGCATCCATTCTTCTTCAGCCTTCCTTATTCATTGTTCACCTTTTGCATGCATATAAGGTGATTGAAAATACCATGGCTTGCATCAGGAGTACTTTAGTCCTCAAAGT